TGATTCTCGGATATGTGATTTTCGGTTCTTAGATTCGGTTTAGTCTCAGATTTTGAGTGTTCTGTTTGGTTGGTGAGAAAATGTAGTAAAAAGTTGGAATTTTTAATGTTAGGTATTCTTAACTCTTTCTCCGACAATATCCGAGTTGAATTTGCTTTGAATTTTATTGATTGACTGAATATTGACTTTAAATTGTTTGGAATTAGGTCTATTCTTTCTTTTGGTACGGTTTGTTTGTTAGGTAAGGATCACAGCATCATTGTATTTTATGTTCTGAATTGATGATAAAAGTGTTGGGAGATTAAGATTTTCTTTTGCTCTATAGGTGTTTTAGATTGGTCACTGTGAATCAATGGAACACTGATTTGGCTTGTCTTTTCTTTGGTTTGTTCTTAGTTAGGAATTGGGTTTTGAGTTGGGGTTTCATTTGCTGTTGGGTTGCTTGGAAAATATAGGAAGAGCAATGTTGGTTGGTAAGAATTGTGCAAAAGTGCGTCTAATTGTGCGTAACTTATCTTTCAAAAAAAAATTGTGCGTAACTTAGTTGGCTAACACTCACATGTTGCAACTAATTAAGCTAACCATAGTAATTGAATGTTTGGTGAGACATTACTCACCTTCAGTGGATTATGAGGTTTTTGATAATTGGCATGTTCTGTCCAATGATCAGATTAGTGTTTGTTTGTGTGTCAAATCCTTTGACAGCTGATACCAGCCTAAAATTGTGTTTTAAAAGTTACTTGGTTTACCTCTTTTCTGTTTTTGAAATCTTAGCCCTCATTCTAAGCTAATGTACTGTTATTTCACTCTTTTTCATTGCAGAATGTGTTTGTTCGGTATTTGTGTATACAGTGATGTGCTAAAGTGAGCAAGTTTTTGTCTGCAAGAATAAGATAGTTGATAACAAGTTTACCCCTCAGTATATCAAGCTGAAATGTACATCTAGGAGCGTGGGTTCTGAAGGGTTGTATTTATCAAGTAAATCAATGGAAACTGCAAGGTCTTGGTTTAACAAGTTGAAATCAAAAGATAAGTTAAGGCCTTCAAAAAAGAAAGAAGCTGCAGGTAATGCAAAGGAGGGATCTAAACCACCAACAAGTGAAGAGGCACCATCAAATGTTACCAAACAGAGGGTAGCGGCTGCAAAGCAGTATATTGAAAACCATTACAAGAAGCAGATGAAAAGCCTGCAGGAAAGAAAGGAACGGTATGATTGAAATTTTTCCACTCATGGCAATTATTTATTGCCATGTAGTAGTTACTGTTATGGTTACATAACTATGATATTGCAAGCAGTGTAACTGTGCTCTATATTGTAGACCTATAATTTGGCAGAATCATCTCATCTTGAGATGCTTAATAGTAGGTTTTGTTTTGAAGAATAGGGATGACGGTTTTTGGTTAATTTTGATTTTCTGCAGACGTGATATTCTAGAAAA